AGTCTATTTTAATGTGGGGCTCTAATCACAGGAAGGTTGAAAAGCCCTGCTTTAAAACAATGACACGGGGTCATTAAACCAAAACCATGGGAGGAAGCTGGAGCTAGTCTGGGTCAGGTCAGAGAGACATACAAGCAGCTAGGGCTGCTCGATTATGGCAAAAGTCATAATCACGATTATTTTTGGTCAATACTGAGATTACGATTATTTAGCACAATTACTCATTGACTTTGGAAATATCATGCATTTATTAAACTTTTTAAAAATGTGTCTTTTTAACAGTGGATTTCCTTGAACTCTAAATAATAATCATTTGAGATAGAGAATAAAAAAGGGATAGAAAGGGTGTGTCGAGTTTATAACACAAGACAAAAGGGATCATCATTGTGAAATGAAATGCAGCCCGATAATCGTTTCATCTCGATTATTTTTTTTTTATATAATCACTGGAAGTCAAAATTGTAATTGAAATTAAACTTCGATTAATTGCCCAGCCCTACCTGTAACACCTAGTAAAGTCTGTTTGATCTTTAGGGACAAAATACAGTGGAAACAAACTATATGCCAAATATGCTTTATCATGCTCTCAACAAACATATATGTGAAGGAGCATCGTAATAAACATCTCCACAGTGATCCATAGCGGTGGATCGCATTTTCCCTGCATTAGGCATGATCATCTGCATCCCATAATGGAGCCATTCTTGGTGAAGGCATAAACAATGACAAGAGGTGGTTTGAAAGTGGACCTTTTTGTTTATATTTAAATGTGCATTTCCAATAATATGGAAAATGATTCACTGCGACTCCATACTGTCTAAGCTATACAGAAGGATGAGTGGATGAAAGGAAAATGATTATTACCTAAGAATGTGTTTCAATACGCAATAATTCAGAAGATCTACGTTAATTACATATGCACAAATACAATTAATAATTAATGAATGTGCTGGATGATTGACTTTAAAAATATGAGACTCTATCCATATTCTAACCACTTATACTAGTCAAAGTTGCAGGAGGGGGGGTCTGGAGTCTATCCTTAGCAACATGAGCACCCATACCACCTGACATTTGGACTAAGTAATCCATTTGAAGTGAAGCAGGTTTGGGCCTGGCCAGGATTTGGATGGGAGACCAACCAGGAAAACTGTGTTGGTGTGGGCAACAGGTTAGGCCATCCTGTGGTCAGTGTGGACCTCACTGTGACAGGGACACTGTGCTATAAAAATGATGCCCTCTTAGAGGAGACATGAAACCAAGGTCCTGACTCTCTGAGGTCATAAAAGATCCTGGGGCATCTTTCAAAAGAGTAATGGTGATGTCCTGCCTAAAATGGCCCACTGTGGACCTTTTAAATCCCACCTCCTAATTATTCCCCTTATTTAATTGGTGAATTCTCTCCTGCCCCTTCACTACCTTAGCTACTGTGTGGTGACAGTACTGGTGCAGAATGGCTGCTATCACATCATCCCAGTGGGTGCTACACAGTGGTGGTGGATGTGTGTTGGTTCTGTGAAGTACTTTGGGTATCTTGAAAAGCAATATATAAATGTAACATTCATTCATTCATAAGGCATTAGGCTGGGAAACACCTTGGTAAGGATCCCTGTACATTTCAAGCCTCAGGATAGAAAATAACTAGATACCAGGGCACATAAGACTGTACTATGTTTACTGCTTGTTTTACATGTGCATTGTCCTTCTGCTCATTCATTACACAGATAAGCATGTGAAAAGCCTGACCTATAAATACACAGACCATCTCTCCAAGGAAACTGACCATCAGCCAATCAAAACAGCAGCAGGAAAAATTCAGTTTCTGATTGTACCGTGCAGTCTACCATCTACCAATTGCTGAACTGTCAAATCAACCAAATGCACAGGCCACAGGAACTGATGAGAACAACATAGCAACTATGGCTGAACCTTTAAAAGAACGAGCCTCTTGTCTTCCTGGGAAACTCTACCACTGACCACGACATCACTATTCAGCTTGGATCATTAATATCGCCCCTATCAAGGTCTGTTAGGAGCCTGTGGGCAATGATAGATGACCAGCTATCCTTTGCTGACAACACTGCAGATATCTAAGATCAGGTCTTATTTGTTAGAATACCAAGTCAGCTCCTGGACCAGACACTTGTCATCTCATGACTAGACTATGGCAGCTCTTCACTGACAGTGCTAGCAGTTTGTGCTGTTAAACCACTACAGGTGATTCAAAATTCAGCAGCAGGTCCGGTATTCAAGCTTAGATGATCTCATGTTGCAACACCTGCTTCAAGTTCTTGGTACCGGCTTTCAAAGCCATTAACAGAACAGCACCCGCCATTGAATCCTCAACATCCTCATCAGTTCAGCAAACTAATGTCGTCAGTAGATCCCTTCGCCACGTGAATATAGCCCTAACTTGTGTACTTCCTCGATGGTGGAATGAGCTTGTCATCTAGTCAGCCTCAACCTTCAAGAAATGGCTCAAAACTCATATTTCCAAGGAGCACCTCGAATAGGTCATACAACCACTTATATACTCCATATACGTCCGTTATCCCTTAATTATGGTCTCTTGTCAATACTGACTCATTTTTTTTGTATTTTTAGGAGCTTCCTCTTGATTTGAATAGCTCTTCTGTTATGTTCTTGCAATGGTGTGTAACATATTGTATAGCCCTTGCTCCAATACTAACTTGTACTTGTTAATGAGCATTCATTAGCAGCTCAGCCAAGCAGCACCTGTACCAAAGTTGGCTTCTTGACAGCTGTATGCTTGTGATATATTATCTGCCTCACTTGTACTCCGCTTTGGACAAGCATCTCCTAAATAAATAAATGCAAATGCAAAATGTCCTTCAAGATCTCCCTCAAGCCATTCTTCTTACACAAGAAAATATTCCTTTGTGGGGGGAGGGTGCAGAGGCCTTTGGCCATCTTAGGAGGGGGAACCAAGTGGTCAGGGGCATTGGCAAGTCCCACTAGTTCTTTACTCCTCCGAATGCACATACATTTTGAGATCTTGTTTTTAGATCCCTAGCAACCTGCATTGAAGACCTCAAGCAACACCCTGAGATCAGCAGCATTACTTTTCTTTGATTCGTTTTTTGAGAAAATTGCTCCTAGCAAAGTCCCTGTTGCCTCTGAAAAGGACCCTTATCCCCAAATAACCAAAAACCAGCACCGTGTTCACTGGTTCTGGGGATTGTTTCGTGGCCTGCTAACACTGGAGGTAAAACCAGCAGCTTACTTTAGAAAAGTTTCTGTTTCTGATCCCTTACACTAGTGAGATTCACCATCATATGTGCCCAGAAGTTGTGTGAATTATACACTACAATCTAAGTTAATCAAAAGACAGCCCTACTTTAAGTAACTGTGAAAGGGAAAATGCATCTGACCGACAAACGAACACAGTTTAAGCTGAAATACTGTCCATGTTAGCCCTGGGTATTTCTCCATTTCCCCTTTTAATTTTCTGTGATGGTGACTTTGGAAGACAGCGATTACTGAACAATTCATCTTCTGCTCATTCTGAAGATCACAGGTTTTGTTTGGCTCTTGAATATTTGTAGCAGATACAAGAGCACAGCAGGCAAGCAGAAGCAGGAATATTTTACACAGAAATGTAACTAATAACAGCACCATTATCTGGAGTGATACTAAAAAGAGTTTATTCTAGTTTTATGTAATAATCGGCTCATATTTCCCGTCAATCAGGATCTGAACGGCCGCGGAAGTGGCTCCACGTAACAGCAACCCAACAAGACGCAAAACAGAAAACTCCTCACAAGAATTTATGACTCAATTTAATTACTGAGAGGGGAAAAGGTAATTAAGTAAGCAGGTGATATTCCACAATAACCACAATAAACCTAGATTAATTAGATTAGATTCATTATCTCCCAAGAATGAAGCTTGAAAGTATCGTAATTTTCAGCATCATACATTAAGTATAATATCAAAGCTTGTCAAACTATGAAAATCCTGTCCCAGCTTTTTATAAACATTATATTAGATGACATTAAAAAATTAAGATTTTATATATGTATGTATGTCACATTGTGCTATTTTTATATGTGTGTTTTGTTGAAATATATTACGGCCAGAGAACTGCATGTAAAGCTAACTTTTTCCTCAGTGTTGGAATTAAGATTTAAACTCGAACCTGCTTTCTGGAATATTTCTGTATAGATCTGAATGTGTGTGTGTGTGTGTGTGTGTGTGTGTGTGTGTGTGTTTTGGTTGGTTGTTTGTGTTTCAGGTCCCCATAAGGATCACAAAGATCTGTGAATGCAATCAAAAAACCAAAAATGCCAAAAGTCTCATATTTTGTTTGGTTACTTATGGTTAAGGTTAGGGCTGGGTAGGGGTTAAGGTTGTCGTGTTGGGATCAGAGTTTTCCCCATGAGATGAATGGAGAGTCCCCACAAAGATATAATTACAAACCTGTGTGTGTGTGTGTGTGTGTATTTTCCAAATAACTTCCAAAACCAAGCACTGCCTCTTATCACAATTACCGTAAAACATATAAGACGCTACACTTGTTGCATAAAAACTGTCATCCCCTTTACCATGTGCCCTTTGACCTCTAAATACTACGCAATAATTTGAATAACACAGGTACTATAACCTGAATATCACAGTAAACTAAACAAGGACCACGTCCTCTTTATTACTGCAACCACGGTTAGGCTGTAGAATGTGTGTGATTAGACATGATGAACACACTGCCCGATATGCTGAGCTCTTCCACCGCTTCCAAATTTGTACCTGTTTTCACTGCACAGTACAACTTTCAATGTGCCTTTAATGTTATGCTGGAAAAACTAAACTAAAACAATAAGGGGTGTGGGGTGTAAAATAAATTCATGGAGAGTCGCATTTGTATATTTTTGTTCTGCAAAAAATAATTGATCATTCTGCATAGCAATAATTTGGCGTACGCTTAACACGATATTTGTTTTATCGCTGTGCTGATAACGAACAAAAGCACTGTATCTAAAGCGTCCAGCTGAACAGTGACAGCCGCATGATATTTTACGTGACCTTTATCTACTTTCACTGAATCTCACTCCAATTAAGTGAAGACAGAACCGATGCTGTCGATGTCCCTTTGCAGGGAGGCAGGGTGACAGTTCATTCATGCACGCACAGCAATGTTACGGGCGGAAACAGACTATGAAGCGGCTCTTTATCATGGACGTGAGGCTGCAACCCGGAGTGTGCCTGTGCATTTCCCTGACACTCGTCCATTAAACGGCTATGATATAGGGTTTGAGGGACCGTCCATCCCCGGCAGCCACACAGACGGTGGTGAAGCATCATCAATGCCTGAACCCTGATCTGCGCCTCTGTTTATTCCCGGAGTGCCTGATGAGGAAGGAGAAGCAGTGCTTTGTAATGGGTGAGCCACCGGAAAGGGATCGAGCCACCAGTGCGCTTTATTTCCCCGGTACGGATGCGAGATCGCCGATCTCGATGCCCGACTTACCCGCTGGCCCGGCCGCCGACCTCACATGTCCCGCAGGTTGCTATCGCTCCGCGTCTGTGCCGTTACGTTGTCGCCAGCGCCATGTTTATCGCCCTCCAGTGTGCAGCTCTACGATCCGGTACCGATGCGGGGACGGCGTGCTACATCCGGGCTGCTGATGAGCGGAGCCGATCGGAGCACCTGGGTGAGATGCGCAGGGAGGGATGATGGAGCGGAGGAGAGCGTGTGGGACACTGAGCGCATCCTACTCAGCCCGACCCCCGGTGAAACGCCGCTCCAGCCTCGTTTTAGAAATATAAATATATATTTATTATATTTATAATATTATCCATTATGCATGCTAATTTTTATATATGAATATATATATATTCGGATTATTTAAATATCAGCATGAATTAAATATAAATAATTGAAATGCATTGAGTTTATTAGAAACGACAGGTGTGGCCATCCTGACCATCTGCCTTGCTTGTGAGCCCGGATAGGCTGCCGTGTCCGACACGCTGCCTTCAAATACGGCTTAAATTAAAGTAAGACAAAACCCACAAATTAGTCACACGTCTTTGTTACATAAACTGTTTAACGATCATTGCACTTTGAGGCTTTTCTAATGGAAACAGTACGAAAATGCACTTAATATATATTAAGATGTGTAATATTTAGCTGTGAGACAGATATCGTGAGCAGTGTGTAATATAGGTGTGAATTAAAAATGGGAGTAAACACGGATTTAATAGCCACCAGTGAATATAATTATTCAGTGCGCAAAAAGCTACAGCTAAAAATATAACAGTGGAGTCGGTATAGTATCATTCTGGCTTAGACAATTACATAACTAGAAAAAAGAGCGGGTGGTATAGCCTATCTGCGCTTTACATGTGCGAAGTACATTATGTATATATAATGTGATGTACTGGCATCCCTTCCAGCGTGTCTTGCCACCTGGGACCCCAAACTGAATAAGCTGCTGTGAAAGATGGATGGATGGATGGATGGATGGAATAATAATATGACTACAATACCAAAAAAAAAACTGAAATGATCAGTTTTTGAAAAATGCCAGACTATTTATTGATGATGTATGTGTAATTTGTGTGTGTAAGTCAGGTGTAACTTTGAGTCACCGTGATGTATCACAGACGTATACAGTATGTGAGGGGGATTCTGAGTTTACCTGGTGTGACTGTTTTCTCTCACGTTGATGCTGCATTTACCTTGTTACTTTATCCTCTCAATATACTATCATAGACTATTGATTATCTGTGAGTAAATTCTTCCATAATTCAGTAGTAAAGACCAGGAGCAAATTGTTTCCCTGCAGTCTTAGATCTCTTCATCTATTTTGTCCACTGGTACATCTAGACTTTGCTTATTGTCTATGTTGATTGCACATTTCTTTTTTTTACTCAAAGGATCAGTTATGAAATTAGATCATTTCAATATAATTACTGGAGATTTATTTCCAGTTGCAGTGATAGCTTGTGGAGCCCAGTAGTAGCCATGGTTAAAGTCAGAGAGTGATTGTTGTGTACAACAGCTACAGAATAAAACACTGTAGCGTCCGAGTGGCTGCTTGCATCAAGGAAATGCCACGTAAGCACAGAGAAGAATGGGATACTGTTCTGGCCACAGCCCACGCATTACACACATTCATATTCATGCCCAACAAACAAACCTCCGCTATAACGACAGATTTGTCCGCAGACGGTGATGCTGCTGGACTCACTACAATATTATTTACCCACGTTGTGAGTCAGTGGCTACCGGAGCGGAAGCAGAGGCTGATCTTGCCTGCATCTGTGCCGTCATGGCGAATGATTGCCAGTTAACAAAGCTCTGCTGGCTCTGATTGGACTAATTACATCATTAAAGAAGCTGAGGGCCAGCAGCGTGGATCTGGAGAGGACAGTGGCTCGGGAGCTGGGGATGAGCTAGCTAGCTAGGCCTGTTCTTATAAAGAGTTTTCCATTATTTATTTTTTTCTTTAGATCTTTCAGGTTTTTTCTTTTGTGTGTTGCCCCTTATTCACCCATGACAAATTTCCACTATCTGCATAATTATTATCAATATTAGCATACTGTACAGTTTAATGATGTAGTTTCATGGTAATCTGAGGATACAATCATTCATTTTGCATTCTCATGTGAGCATGGTGGCATAGGCTATAGCATTGCTAAATCACACCTCCAGGGTTGTGGGTTTGAATCCCTTCTGCACTGTTTGTGGAGGTTGCATGTTCACCCTGTTATGCACAGGTTTCCTCATGCAGCGCTTAGGCATGCAGATGTTAACTGGCATCTCTGCTTGGGGTATGTGCCCTCTGTTGGGCTGGCATTGCATCCAGGATATTGCCTGGGATTAAGCTCCAGGTGACACTGACCAGCATAAGCAGCTGGTAGATAGAAGGATGTTCTCTTAAGTGGCAGTAGGCCACCAATATTGAAAAATATTTGTTTCTTTCTAAGGATTTTCTCCACAGTGTCACACACTTGGGGTGGCTTGGGGTGCAGTGATTAGCACTGCTGCCTTGCCCCAGTGAGAGTCTCTGCTCTGGCTCCCAGTGTCATTGTGGGGTTACTCCAGTTTCCACCCACAGCCCAAAAAATATGCATAACAACTTCAGACCACGCAAAAGAAACCCAGCTAGGTAACAAAGACATGCCTTCGGAAATGTTATCACACTTTTCCACAGAATGTTCTGGGAAGGCTGTTCTACTTGAAAACAATGATGTAAGTAAAACTGTCATATCCCCTCCGATACAAGTTAGCGTTCATGTGATAACCACATAAAAGATGATAGATTCACACATTAAATTTGTCATAAATTAATGTTCTATATTTTCACATCTATTTTAAACCATTTAAACTCCAAGGGAAAACAGCGATTTGCCCCAAATCTGGGAAAATGTACTTATTATTTAAATATCATGCAAGCTGGCGAATGGCAAGCGGCATTGTTCACAATGTTAATGATTTTCAAGGTTGCAAACCTAGGACTGAACATTATTCATAAAAAGTGTGTATCTATGTCTTCACGTGTATGTTTTTCTGTGTATAGGTGTGTGGGTGTCTGTCTGTGTGTGAATGCCTGTGTGTGTATATCTGTGCATGTATGTTTGTGTGTGAAAGTGTTTGTGTGTATATGTGTATGTATGTATGTATGTATATATATATCTATATGTGCATCTGCATTTGCGTGTATGTGTTTGTGTGTATATGTGTTTGTCTGTGTGTATGTGTTTGTGTGTATATATGTGTATCTGCGTATGTGTGTATGTCTGTCTGTGTGTAGGTACTTGTGTGTATATGCATGTGGGTGTCTACCTGTGCATGTTTGTTTGTATGTATTTGTATGTATACATGTGTGTCGCCGTGTGCATGTATGTGTTTGTGTGTATATATGTGTGTGTCTGTGTGTGCGTGTATGTGTTTGTATGTATATATGTGTGTCTGCATGTGCGTGTATGTGTTTGTATGTATATATGTGTGTGTCTGCGTGTGCATGTATGTGTTTGTGTGTATATGCGTGTGTGTCTGTGTGTGCGTGTATGTGTTTCTATGTATATACATGTGTGTCTGCGTGTGCGTGTATGTGTTTCTATGTATATATGAGTGTGTCTGTGTGTGCATGTATGTGTTTGTGTGTATATGCGTGTGTGTCTGTGTGTGCGTGTATGTGTTTGTATGTATATGCGTGTGTCTGTGTGTGCATGTATGTGTTTGTGTGTATATGCGTGTGTGTCTGCGTGTGCGTGTATGTGTTTCTATGTATATATGTGTGTGTCTGCGTGTGTGTGTATATGTTATACTCTTCATGGAAATTTGATTCTGATCATCAGTACGTGGTTTCATTACCGTGGTATTTGTTGCTCCCACCAAACATTTGTTCATCTCTTCCTTAAATTAGCCACAGGCTATAAATATACCAGGTTCCACCAAGAACCTGACAGTGCCGGGATGTGCAGAAAGACCATGTTAATCTTATTAAAATGATCTGGTTTCAGGTTAATCCTATGCTGCCTTTGCCCTGCATTGGCCAAGCTAGGTGTACCACCGAAAACTAGCTCTCATCATTCAAACAAACTATTAACAGATTTCCAGTTATTTAAATCATACATTACTTACATTCCACACAATCACATTTTCAGTGAATATAAATAATTTATAAGTTCTGATAATCAACCAAAAGTCTCCTAGGATGTTTTTTTTTGCCTGACAAATTCCAGCATGTTGCCTGCATTGTTAATACATTTGACCATCATTTTTAGGGACAGTAATGTCCCAAGAACTGAAAAAAATCAAATAAATACTGAATTTGTTAGTAAGGAGAAGAGGCAGAAAGGATTTCTTTAAAAAGTAAGTAAAACTAAAGTATGACTGATCTAATCATATCAGGTAGAGGTAAAGGTATTGCTGTACTGTACCTGGCAGCAGAGATCTCAGTCACTCAGGGTAAGTTCAGCGATGGGAGGCTGTGCTGAATGTGGCTCTTTAGGCGCCCGGTCAAATGCCTGATAAATCTGATACCTGTTAAAGGGAACCACGCTGGTGGCTGGTGCAGCTGTCCGGAGGGCCGAGCGCAGCGCTGCACATGTTGACTTGTTACTGTTCAGCCTGAGTCTAAGTCATGAGTCCATGTTGTTGAGTCACTGGAGCTGTGAGCTTCAAAGTTAAACTCACAGTTTGTCAACAAAAAGCATTTCATTTCGGGTCTTGTTTGTTCAAATACTAATTTTTTCATACCCCTTTATAAAGACCTTAGGGTGGATGCTATACTGAGGAAAATCACTATGGATTCCGGGTTTCCAAAAACCAGCAGGTTTTAGGCACCCTGGTCAGACTTACCCATTGCATGTATTCCTATTTCTTATTTCTGTCAAATTATAAAATAGTAATCGATATAAAAAGAGAACATAAAAAATAAAATGCCAAATGCATTTGAAATGCTAATATCAACTAACAAATCCATTATTCATTCGAAGAACGGCTTTTGGAAAATAAAATGCTCTTTGAATTTGTATATGGTGACTCACTTCAGACGTTCCTGGAAGTATGAAGATATATAATAATGTTTAAATAGAAAGGCATAGATATCATAACTCACGCCATCATGTATACACCGGACATATTTTGCGAGAAGCTGGACCAGAAGGAGACAACTGTGGACTAAAGATTGACGATTTAAGGACACATGAAGTACATAAAGAATACAATGTAAGAAAAAAGCACAAGGCTGGCGGTTATCTTTGATGTTGATAGTGAAACACTGAGGTCATGGACAGATTTTTCCTCAATGAAATCATAAATAACAAACATGATGAAACGTGATGATCACTATGATGAATTCTGACAGATTTTGATCAAATGCACTTTTTACCAGGGGGCGTTTAAAAAACTTTTTTTTTTCCTCAGCCAAAACATTTTGCCATGGACACAGATGAGTCTTATCATGGACACGTTTGTCCATGCATGAACTGGTTGATGATCCCTGGACCTAGGAAAAGTCCAGTAAAGTACCAATGTATGTCAAGAAAATGCTGGAAAATGCTAAAGCTGGAAAATGAAGAAACAGGATTGGAAGAGTACTGACATCTTTAAATCTTGGTGTTAGTGAAGACACTTAAACACACCATGGAGACACATGCATCAAATGCTCAGATGAGAAAGGTACACTTTTGCATTGCATGTGGAACTGCCCAAAAGTGCAGGAGTTTTGGAAGGAGGTGGCTATATTTATTTCTCAAATGGTGTTTGTAAACCTACCGATGAAACCTGAAATTTTTATTTTGGGAATTATTCCTGAGAATATTGTCGACCATGGTATTAGTATACTTCAAGCAAAGCGTCTAATATCCTTGTACCAATACAAGTTGGAAAATAACTAATATCCAGTACAAGGATATTAGACGCTTTGCTTGAAGTATACTAATATCAACAAGCTTACGAGTGCTTCCATGGTCGACAATATTCTCAGGAATAATTCCCAAAATAAAAATTTCAGGTTTCATCGGTAGAAAGCGGAAAAGCCATCTATCGTACAATGGATCAATAACATGTCCTTCTGTTTAGCTATGGAAAAGATTACTTATATATTGAAAGGTAAAATTTCTTCTTTTGAGAAAATTTGGACACCCTTTATATCCTTTATATCAAATTCGAATTTTGGGAATGTACTAAGTGAGACAGGAGGAGATAAGATAACTTAACACTTGACTTATCGTATCCCCTTTTTCATAATTCATAATTCTATTTAAGGAAAACATTGTTAAATAACGATTTGTTGTATACCTTCTATGCATGTTTTGTATTTACTGTACAACTCCACCTTCCTACTGTATTGCTCTCTGGAATAACCTGTGTGGCTATTTAAATTACCTGTGCCTTTTTTTTTTATTTTCTCTTCTCTTCTCTTTTCTTTTTCCTTCAAATGAAAAGATGTAACTATAACATTGTTGTATTACATTGTTGTATTTTGGTACGTCTTAATAAACAGATTGTTTAAAAAAAAAAAAAAAAAAACACACCATGGATTGTGAGAAAATGAAACAAGTGAATTATTGATCAAATCAAGCCTAAACTTTCAAATGAAGTACAAATGGCCAAACAAATCATTCATTTGTTTCCATAACTGCTTATCATATTTAGAGTGATGGTGGTGCCCTGGTGGGCACAAGGCAAGGAGTGACCCAGAATGGGGAGTGAACTCATTGCAGGACACACTCATACCATTCACACCTATGGGTGAAACGAGAAACCAGAGCACCCAGAGAAAACCCTGTGACAACATGGGGAGAACATGCAAATTCCATACACACAGAGCCATGAGACTTGAACATAGGTCCCAGAGGTCGGAGGCGACAGTACTAACCACTACACTACCATTCCACCCCAAACAAAACAAAACAAACAAACAAACGAACAAACAAACAAAAACTTATTTGGGGATATTATTACCCCATGACTCTGACCAAGATAAGCTGTTAGAAGATGGATGGATGGCTTTATATCTGCTAACTTAAAATAGACATGTGGAAGCAACAAATCAACTTTGATTCTACACGTTGGGGAATATCGGCTATCCATTGTACCCTGGCCAATGGCAGGCAGACACAGGGTAAATGTCACTGACTTTCTTAGCCATCCTTTAGTTTGATATGCAGAGTAAAGAAAGCACATAGGGGGAGTTCTGCCTATACCAAACACATTGTGTTAGAGGAAATACATAACGACTGACTGGAGAACAATAAACCATTTAAGGTTATATATGATCATTCTTGGAGGTCAGAATCAGGTTGCCCGCATGAGTATACATCTCCATATAAATTATGCAGAGGAATGTGGAGAAAAAGAAATAAACAGCCACAATGAAAACAGCTATATACTGAAAATAGTGGAACATGATGTACCTTCTTGTCTTTAAATCCTTCCTTAATGCCGTTGCACTACAGAGGACAACAGAAACCAAGCTAGACTTTCCAGATGACTTCATTATGATACACTGGATGGAAGTTTTGTGACAAATAAGGTGTTTTCAAAGTTGGTCTCTTTCAGTCCTCAGAGGGTGATTAGTCAGCATTTTTTGCACATATGTGAACATTCCAAACAAACTGAAACCCCTCTAAAACGAACCGAACTGACACCATCTCAGGAGGGTTTTCACGTTGCGGCTCGCTTAATTCCAAAATTCACTTTATCTTTTGCCAGAGTATTTTAGCCCAGTAGGCTTGCCGTTCAGATCATATGCTATTGCACTGGGATGCTACCGATAATTATCCAAAGCAGTAAAGGTCTGATAACTCCAGAGGACCTACAGCATGAATAGAGAGAAGACTGAGGCTCCATCAGACCTGAAGTGAACCCGAAAAAGAACTGAGTCCTCCTTCAAATGAACACAAAAAATAATAATAAAAAAGAAAACTGAGAGCCATTTTTGTTGGTCCACTACTATTTGGTCTACTTTAAGAGGGCTGATTTTGTTTAAGAAGGACTATACATGAAAACACCCATGTAAGAGATGTGGTCTTGAGACGGAGGCCACGTGACTGAATTTGTTAGAATTTATCAGTTCCATCTGTCCCTTGTTCTACCTCATATACTGATGTGTTCTGTTCAGTTTTGAGCCTATGATCGCCTCCCTTGTTTATTGTTGTTATTTTTAAGTTTGTAAACCTGCCTGCTCGTTTTGGTATTTTTTGTCAGTGTAATATTTCACCCACCTTGTTCCTGGTTAACCCTAAAGAGAAAACCAACAGGCACTTTTCTAGCCACCTATGGGGCCCTGGCCACTGCAACAGGCTGAAACACCCAGAACTGGTCAGGGGGGATAATGGGTCTGTCTTGTCTTGAGTTACATATAATCTCATTTGGTGATTTTAAGCAATTCTCAATGCGATTTTCATGTTGCATATGAGAAAGACTCCCATCATCAGTGGCAGTTATCTTAGCAAATAGTTAGCTCTAGCATGAAAGTCTGTATGTTACTGTATCATCCCCCAGCTATAATACTGTTACAGCTTTATTACTGCTGTACTACAGACTAAATGCAATTTACTTGATTGATGAAAGACATCCCAGGTGCTCTGCTACGCATTTTATTTTTCTTATCAGTCACGGTAGATTGATTAGAGCTGTCAAAGTAAGTCCGCGTGTGGCCAGGGGATACTAATACAGCTGAACTTCTGCAGCTCGTCCCGCTGGACACCGCGCTCCTGCGCCAGAAGAATATCACTGTCATCAGCAGGATTTAATCCATTTCTATCACATATTTCAAAATCATCTTAGTGACCAAAAATGGAGGATTTTTTTGCCAAAATGGAGATACTTTACAAATTGAACTCTCGACAAATTATTCAAAATATGAACCATGATGCATGCGACTGAACAATTTCCAAGAAAAATAGCAACGGTTTGAAAGTATGCAGTTATAGCACAGGTTGAACTTAAGATTTTCTGCATTTTTACAACTCATTACACTGTCATAAAAGCAGGTGTGTGTAGAGAGAGAGAGAGAGAGAGAGAGAGAGAGAGCAGATTTTTTGACTCTGGCAGGGTTTGGTGGCAGGGATCTGTCTGTACATCATGAGCATTGGCCGGCATCCAGCTACAGCCAATCAGATGTTGAGCTGTCCATCACTATCAGTGGTGATCAATGGATTCAGCCTCCATGCCACCTGGTAACCACAAGAGTGACAGGAGGAGCTGAAACTGTATGTCACAGACACATCCTTCCACACAGAACCTTCCGTCCATTTTCTAACCCTCTTTCCCAAATGATGGTCAGGTTCCTGTACAATTCATAATGATAATTTGATAGTGAAACATCCTTTATCCAACTACACGTCTCAGTCTCATCTTACGCTGTACATTGTTTAAGTCCATTTTTTAAGTCCACTACAGCACTGCAGCAACCTACCCTAAGAGAAACGTCACACAACATACAACAACATTGTCAAATTTATTGCAGTCACTCCATTCAGAAGGACAATCACAGTCTGAATAATTTAGCATTCTAACATATGCTGTTTGCTTAGTTTTTTTGTGTATTCAAACTGTTTCCATGCAGCACCATTTAAAACACAGCTACCCTCAAGGAACAGGATCATCACGAACAGAACAACAGCCAACGTTACACCAAGTGGAAAAAAAGCCAAAGGTTTCTACGAGTAGATGTGGCTGTTCTCTTCTTCCTATGGACTTCTCCAGAATGGGTTTTGTCTTCAACAATCCAGAAAACCAAAATATTAAATTTGATGTGTATATTACATATATATGTGTATAACAAACACATCACAAAAAAATATATAAAGACTGACTGAAACATAATATACCATTTTAGGTTATATGTGATCCTTCCCGGGGTGCAGAATCAAGTTGCCTGTATGAATATATAACCTTCTGAATCATCATATTTACTAGGCAGAGGAATGCAGAAGAACCAAAATAAATGTGAAACAAAAAAGGCAACAAAGAATGTATTGAAACTGGTGGAACAGGTTGTCACTTAATATTACCTTTATATCCTTATTCAGTGTTACAGGGTTTGGTCAGTTGACTGGCCTGAGATTTTCAATTTACATGTATGTAACAGTCTCATTACCTTGTTAATAGTCTGTAGGGTTTGAAAACTACTCCAGCGCTTTTGATGTAGCTAATTTTAGGTTTATAATGGAATTATATAGATATGCTGATTTCTTGTGTGAGTGTGAGAGTCAGAAAGCGTGAGTGTCATGGAACATGTGTGAGAGTTGGCAGACCTGGTGTTGCCATGACACAGTACAGAACTCTAGAACCTACTGGAAATTCCAGTTCAAACCAGTAAACCTCATTTGCCGGTTTTCAAACAGCTGAACGGATCCTTGTTACTCACCAGTAGGTCAAAGGGTAGAGTTGCTATTTCAAATCCAGGCAGGTGACTAACACGTACAGTTCAGCAGTTCAAAAACCGACATAAACCAATCTGTAAAGAGAGAGAAAATAATCGAGAAAAAGGAAGAATATAGGAAGACCTACCTCACTTAGTTCAAACCATACACAGGTCCACTGTGTACTCTTATCTAGGTGGGTTTAACAAAAAAGGTTTACACATATTTTTAAAAAGACTTGTCACTATTTTCGATCGTTTTTTTTTTATAATGTTACAATTTCATATCAGCTGTTTTGAACTCCAAAAATATTCAGCATTTTGAGAAAGTCCAGTGACACATTAAAATTCTATATGACAAATTCCATGAGTTATGCATTTTTAAAAGTTTTCAAAAGTTACTGCATGATTTGGGTTGTATGCTATACATGCAGCTGAAGCTGTTACAACTAATGCCTCTGGCCTCCATTTGTTCATTATTTTTCTTTATGACATCCGCGTTCGGTATCAAGAAAAAACGAACATGATAAAAATGCTGACAGTCCTGCCACCTGGTGGAATACGTCTTACGTGACCAAACCCTCTTTTCAGAGCAGTAATCATCATAAATGAGACATCGATGCCGCATATGAATCTCATTAGGTCTAAATCAAAATTTATTTTCACAACTAAACCGCAACAGCAGTCTTTATTATCGAAATCTACTCCACTGTGCATTTAACGCAGGTTCCGTTGGCCTATGCTAGTGCCACTGTACCAGCACCACGCGATGCTGCTCCAAATCTCGCGATACCAGACATGCACATTAACCTACTTTTTCCAAGTTACCCTGAAATGGGGGCGGGGGATACGCGACCCTGAATAAGTCTAGCGGTTTATGAAAATGGATGGATGGATGGATGACTAGAAGCCGATATGATGAAGGAAGGTATCAAGCGTATAAAATCATTGTAGCCATACGAATGCAGCCTTCATGATGTTATACACACCACACCAAGGATGCATCTTAATTTCGCACTGAGTTCGCATCTGCTCACATGGCAAGAAAATTGTACTCATTCGGAAGCTCTTCGTAGTGTATATCGGTATGGGTTCATTGCCTTTACACTGTAGTCTCTGATACGTTCAGTAGCGAGTGATTGAGCATCGAGTAATGCTATATAACATCCATATATAAGCAAGTTATATATGTTTCAAGCAAAATTGGAACAAAGAGTTCCATTTCAGCATCCTCTGAAATGCCGCAGTCGCTTGCAGTTTGATCACTTTAACATGAAATGATACAAAATATCTCATACCTCGATGTCACTGATGGCTAAGACGCACGATGGCAGAATATAGGCTATAGCAGTAAAATCTAAGTATAATTGAAAAATTGCGATTTTTCAGTCCTATCGAAGCCACTCAAAAATCGCATGCTTTGCAAAGCCTTAGTTTGTCAGGGCATACCCAACAGAATACTTTTTGAAATCGATCGAGTCTTGCATTTGTTTATTGTTGAATTTTAAATTGTAAATATTTAATTGTACATTACATTCGTACTTGAAATTTTTAAGTATTATATTAAGTATTTATTACTGATACGTACAGTCATTTTGCCAGTATAAGTGGAGTTAATTTATCGCAGTATCACGTAACTGAGTTCTTCCTTGCTCTCCTTAAGAACCAATAAACATAATACTCCACACAACTTAAACAGTAAATAGCCATGGCAGTCAGTTTTAATGTTAATTTCCTTCCGGGATCAGGCACTGACCATCTAAAAATCCATCAACACGTCAAACATGAATGACAACATTAAAATTCAACAAATTGAAAATGACGGCCAGTCGGTATCTTTTGCTCCTTTATAGCTGCCGATGAGTTTCCCCTAGGTCATAAATTTTACGATGCTGAAAAACGGCACACCGTTTCTGATAAATGTTGTAATACTAATTATAAAGACCTCAATCTGTAGTATTAAAACAGAACTTTGTATAAGGGGCTCGTGTAAATATACTGAATGCACAACCCCCGCCCCCCGCCCCGACCACAGCTAATGGGGCGCAATGGCGCCGAGGAATATCATCTAAAATTCACCTTTACCTTTCAGAACATATATTTTGTTTTGTTTCAATTATAAAGAAGTTCACCCATTAACTAATTCACTGAAAACCCAAGGTATATATACTCGTCGGTGTAAGAAACAATGAATAAATGAATGAACAAATGGGCAGCATGTAAATATGCTAGCTGATTAGCTACACGTAGATCACTAGTAAACATAAATTCGTGTCCTTCTAGCCTTCGTTAATGAATTATATAAGAACACACACCCTAAAACCTCCATATGTCGTGTAAGTATCTCCTGCTGCCTATGCGACGAGAAACGCCGCATAAAGGAAAGCATGACGTCAGTGTTCCGGTGGGCGTTATCATAGAAATAGAAAACTGCTCTTTGTTGCCAAGCCACGCATGCCTTCCCGCTTAAAAGGACTTCCAATCTAGTATTTCTATATCTATGACCCACGCATGGAAAGTGCTGGAAAAACCGAAGTACACCCACAAAAGCTGACAGATATCCTTCCGTGTTACAGCAGAACAGCCCAACAAACATTAGGTTTGGCGAGAAATATGTTTAAGTGAAAAGCATATAAAAAGAAAAATTGTATGACACTTGCGTATAATGACTGCAGATCGTTTTTTTAACCGAAGGACAACTAATTTAAAACATACATTTAAATGCACTATCGCGAATACAAAGTTGCACATATAAGGCTATTTGCTTAGTTTTCTGTCTTTTAGCCTGTGTCCAAGCAGCACCACTACATTATATACACAAACTTGTATTTAAACGAACAAGTTTTCCGAGTTCTGCAAAGACACTGCAGTGACATACACCAGCACAGCGTGCGGTGCCCTTTCAGCGGAGGGATACGCACGCATATATACACAGGCTATATAGATATCGTTCTTTTCAATGCTACCCCTTTCAATTTCCATACCTCACGGTGTAGCAGGATCAGGGTACCTCAGTCGCATTTAATTCAAGAACGTTACCCGGAAAACAAGTCAAGGTACTGTAATATACACATGTATTTTTAAACAAGAGTTAAAATAGTTGAAAACCGGTAAAACTATCGAAACGCATAACGAATAGTAGTAGTTATAATGTGTGGTGTCGTGAATGTCTTCTGATCCCCACCTTGACTGCGTGCGTTATGTAAATCGTATTTGTATTTACTTGTTCCTGTCGAAAAACGCGAAGGGCCCGCTGCTTTTGTTTGTGTTTGTTTGTTTACTCCTCATTAACCATGTAGCCAGGGATATCGAAGCCAGTGCTAGACGCGGTCCGCATTGTCGCAGAGAAATCGGAGGGCTGTATTTGAAACCTTAATTGCAGTTGAACGCAATTTGCTAACAAGTATAAATTCATAACAGGATTGTTAATGATACAATCGCATAACAATTAGTACCACGGGATAACGCAAAACTGTCCTGAACAGGGCCTCGTTTTATTGTGGACATGTTATGTACTTTAATGCCTGACTTGCTGGGTGAATATTTTCGTTCTCCCTCACTAGCTAGGTTTCAGTTTAGGTAACTGAGTTTATTTCATTTTGCGATTTGGTCTTTTATTCTGCGACTTTAGTACCGCTGTGCTATTTTTCGTGTAGTTTTGGGACGAAAACGCTAGTTTCATTTGGGTAAAAATGCTTCTAGTCATTGCGGTTCATTGCGTTAACCATGTGCTGCTTTCATTGTCGGCGTGTTGGGCGTCGCCATATTGTGCGTCTGTGACGTTACATCCTGCGCGGCGCTGTCCAATCAGATGGCTGCATGAGTGTGCACAATTCGAGACCGCAATGAAGAATTTTAACGCTGTGCATTAATCTAAGAACTGTAAATGCATCTCCCCGCTCCAAATGCAAATGATTACTGTCGGTATGAATGATACATTGATGGATGTTCTTTATTGACCCCGATTGGGAAAATCATTTAACAGCGGCAAACACAAATTAGACAGCATACCACAATACACATAGTTTAAATATAAGGAAAAGAAGAGTTTAAAATAAAATAAATAAAATGGGGAAACAGGTGAAGTAGGTGAGAAGTAATCAAATCGATATTAAAAATATTTTAGAATAACTGCATTATATGCAACCTTATTTGGAATAGCAAGTGTTCACTTGCTTGTTTCCCAAGTACATATTCCTTTAGTCATCACTGTTATGTAAGTGGGTGAGTGATACTTACCAGAATGTCAATTTTGCTATACAGATGCCTGAAGAAATGCGACAAGAGGAGGAGGCTGAAACCTTTGCCTTCCAGGCAGAGATTGCTCAGCTGATGTCCCTGATCATCAACACCTTCTACTCTAATAAGGAGATCTTCCTCAGGGAGCTCATCTCTAACGCCTCTGATGTAGGTAGCGCATAGTCGCTGTTGGGTAAATGCAGTAGATTGATCCTGTCTGGGGAGTGTGGCATTTACTCAGCTGTAGTAAAAAGGGGACACTGCACAAATATCGCGTAACTGTGACTCTTTCCACAAGGCACTGGATAAAATTCGATATGAAAGCCTGACTGACCCCACCAAGCTGGACAATGGGAAGGACCTGAAGATTGACATCATCCCCAATGTTCACGATCGCACTCTGACTATCGTGGACACGGGAATCGGCATGACTAAGGCCGACCTGATAAACAACCTGGGAACCATCGCCAAGTCTGGGACGAAGGCCTTCATGGAAGCCTTGCAGGTGTGTGTTCAGGTCACCTGGAAGTGCTGCTTTAACGACCTTTCGTGCATAAATTATGACAGCTTGAGTTATACACGTGTTTACTCTGGAAGACAGCATGCATTTCACAATGTCTGAAAGATCTGTTTGGAGGTATGAAATGATACAGAAGGAATTGTCAAAAACAAGGTTCTGCTCTATGTCATCACAGAGGTGCATGACTATGTCTAGATGCAGTCTAATTAACTGACCTGACTAGGTCTAGCTAAACCCAACAACGTCATCTCATTCAGATTTCTCATCTATTCGGTCGATTTTCTCTCCCTTAGGCTGGTGCTGACATATCGATGATAGGGCAGTTTGGTGTGGGTTTCTACTCTGCCTACCTTGTGGCTGAGAAGGTGGTGGTCGTCACAAAGCATAACGATGACGAGCAGTACGCCTGGGAGTCTTCTGCCGGGGGATCCTTTACGGTGAAAGTTGACCATGGTGAGTCATCTCTGAAAAGAGGACAGTTGTGGAATTGTTTTGAGCAGTTAAGTATGAAATTGCTAACATGAACCTCATGTTCTGCCATGTTGAATTGCAGGTGAACCTATTGGCCGTGGAACCAAAGTTATCCTGCACCTGAAGGAGGATCAGACCGAGTACGTCGAGGAGAAACGTGTCAAAGAGATCGTTAAGAAGCACTCCCAGTTCATTGGTTACCCCATTACTCTCTTTGTAAGTTCTCTGTAAAGCTATTTTGTCTAGTTCACATATGTAAGGGGGAGGGGGTCCTGGAACTTACCCAAGGCAGAAGAGTGCAGACCTGGTTTACACCTTTTCCAGGATGTCAGTGACTTGAATTCTCAAAATGAAGTTTCTTGTTTAGAATATTGAATGCTTCCACCGTGTGTGTTTGGATATGGCTTGTAGGTTGAAAAAGAGCGTGATAAGGAGATCAGTGATGATGAGGCTGAGGAAGACAAGACCGAAAAAGAGGAAGACAAGGAGGAAGGTGAGGACAAGCCTAAAATTGAGGATGTTGGTTCTGATGACGACGAAGATGCCAAGGACAAGGATAAGAAGAAGAAGAAGAAGATCAAGGAGAAGTATATTGATCAGGAGGAACTGAACAAGACCAAGCCCATTTGGACAAGAAACCCTGATGACATCACCACAGAGGAGTATGGAGAATTCTACAAAAGTCTCACAAATGATTGGGAGGACCATCTGGCGGTCAAGGTAAGGCACGAGCCTGCAGGTGACCTTCTGGGAACACTTCCTGCTGCAGGCGTCTTTAAAATTCCCCTCGCTATCCAAATATGCTGATATCAGGGGGAAAATGATATCCAATTTGCCTGCCACTTAGCAGTAGAGAGTGCAAGTGATGCATGCCGGTGTGACGTTCATGCCTGTCTGTTCCATTTCAGCACTTCTCCGTGGAAGGCCAGCTGGAGTTCAGGGCTCTGCTCTTCATTCCCCGCCGTGCGCCCTTTGACCTGTTCGAGAACAAGAAAAAGAAGAACAACATCAAGCTTTACGTCAGGAGGGTTTTCATCATGGACAGCTGCGAGGAGCTCATCCCAGAGTATCTGAGTAAGTCTGGATGTCTGTCTTCCCCTCTCATGGTTTGTGACTCATGATTGATATATAGACACTTCCTGGATGACGACGATCTGTGTTATGGTATTTCAACTTTACGATGGGTAGATGTACTGAAATTGGGGGAAAAAACATTATTCAATAAATTACATGATATTCAACATTTAAAAGAAAAAAATAGGCTATATGTTAATGATTTTGCCCAACTGTAGGCTAATCTAAGTGTTAAGCATGTTTAAGGCTAGGCTATGATGTTTGTTAGGTTAGGTGTGCTGTGTTAAGCATTTTCACCGTACAATAGGTTTGTTGGAACGTAACACCATTGTAACCCGGGGTTACGAGGTACTGTGTATGTGTGCATTTTTTATTTTTTTTCTTCCAGATCTGATCCTAACCCACTTATTCATTTATAGACTTCATCCGTGGCGTGGTTGACTCTGAGGACCTCCCGCTTAACATCTCCAGAGAGATGCTGCAACAAAGCAAAATCCTGAAGGTGATCCGCAAGAACATTGTGAAGAAATGCCTGGAGCTCTTTGCAGAGCTTGCTGAGGACAAAGAAAACTACAAAAAATTCTACGACGCCTTCTCCAAGAATCTGAAGGTAAGCTGACATTGAAAATTCTTCAGGGTGACTGATTGAAAGCTGAGGGTGAAATATTTTGAAATAATTCTGATATTTGACCAGTTGCAAATAATATTTGCAATGTCGTCTTGGGTTTTCCTGTAGTTGGGAGTCCATGAAGACTCACAGAACCGCAAGAAGCTCTCGGAGCTTCTGCGCTATCACAGCTCCCAGTCTGGCGATGAGATGACCTCTCTGACAGAATATCTGTCCCGCATGAAGGATAACCAGAAGTCAATCTATTACATCACTGGTATGTATGCCTCCTTAGTGTGTTCTTATCCCATGCCTTACCCTCAAGCTGAGTCAAGATTTTGCAGAAGGGAATAAGGTTTTGATGCCATGCTTCAATGCGAGTTGCCTGGCTTCTGAGATTCCAGTCATGATGGGATGTTTTAAATAGGGGAAACCTTCTAGCTGATGACGTGACTAAAAAAGACACTGTTTTTCACTAGGTGAGAGCAAGGATCAGGTGGCCAACTCTGCTTTTGTGGAGCGGGTTCGTAAGCGCGGCTTCGAGGTTCTGTACATGACCGAGCCCATCGACGAGTACTGCGTCCAGCAGCTTAAGGAGTTTGATGGAAAAAGCCTGGTCTCGGTCACCAAGGAAGGTCTGGAGCTGCCTGAGGATGAGGATGAGAAGAAGAAGATGGAGGAGGACAAGGCCAAGTTCGAAAGCCTCTGCAAGCTCATGAAGGAAATTCTGGACAAAAAAGTAGAGAAGGTAATTGGGTTTGATGCAAAAATTCCCAAGCATTTCTTCCTGTCCCTTGAACATAATATAAATTTTGAGATGCGTTCCTGATGTCATTTCACCGTTTTGGTCACACACAGGTTGCCTAGTTCAGTCATTTGGCACAGTAGGTGAGTCTGTCCTCATAGGTCAAGGCTGCCGTTTCAGCTCTAAGAGCCATTGTGTGTTGTGGTTCTGCCTTCGGTTTGTTTTCCCTTAACATCTGAATGCATCTTAACCTAGTTCTGCCCCCAACCCTCACAGAGTTTGCAGAAATTAACCACCGGGAAGGACCTATCTGCTGTAGGAATGTTCTGGAATTCATTTTTGCTTTTATGCATTGCTTGTAGGTAATTGCTAACTTGTCAGACTGCAACCAGTTTAATGCCGCATCAACTGTGGATGTAGGGTGATGTGATTAACACAGCTGGTTTGATGTTCACCACCCATAGTAAGTTCAACGTCTGTTTTTAAACAGGTGACTGTGTCCAACCGTCTGGTCTCCTCCCCGTGTTGCATTGTCACAAGCACTTACGGCTGGACAGCCAACATGGAGCGCATCATGAAGGCCCAGGCCCTGAGGGACAACTCCACCATGGGATACATGATGGCCAAGAAGCACTTGGAAATTAACCCCGACCATGCCATCATGGAGACCTTGAGGCAGAAAGCTGAGGCCGACAAGAATGATAAGGCGGTGAAGGATCTCGTCATCCTGCTGTTCGAGACAGCCTTGCTGTCATCTGGTTTTTCTCTGGAGGATCCTCAGACACACTCAAACCGCATCTACAGGATGATTAAGCTTGGACTTGGTAGGATCAGTTATGTGCTGGAAGGGCATTTGTGTGTGTCTGGAGTTTTTTTTTTTTTTTTTGTATGATTCAGATGTAATTTTTTATTTTTTTTTCCCCCTCTATCAGGAATTGATGATGACGACATCCCTGCAGAAGAGCCCAGTGCAGCACCTGCTGCAGATGACATTCCACCCCTAGAGGGCGACGATGATGCTTCACGCATGGAGGAAGTGGACTAAAGGCTATCGGCCTTGATTATATATCAATGCTTTGTAGTTTTAATGGTGAATCTTTTGACAGCCCGATTTAAACATCATTTGTATGGTTTCTGTAAAGATGTAGTTGACCAATTTGCACAGTTGCCAGCTTCATTCCGAATTTGTAAGCCAGATTCAACTTCTGGCCAACATTGTATACACTTACAGGCAACTCAACCGAAGTGCTGCTTTCAAAGTTATTGATAGATTAAGTATTTTAAACTGTCAGGGATCAGAAGAATGTTGAGTGGAGCTCAAGATCTTAGTCCAGGTGTCTGTATTTGGCATTTTTTGTTTTGCAAAATAAAGCTGAACAATTGAACTGACTTGGTGACCTTTTAAATTAAATTGCATTTCTTCAGTTTGGTAACAGTGAAATTGAATGGTAGTTTCAGTGGGTAAGAGGAGGACTGATGAACCTGGCACACATGCACTGAGGTCTGTTCAGGCTTTCCCAGCTCACACATCCAGTCCCGTGTGGGGAACTGTCTGTACAAACCAACAAAACCACATGGCCACAATTGTCTGGCAGCATCTGTGGATGTTCACCTGCCCCTAGACGGCTACAGGGGCCATCAGCTGCATTTTTGGGACAAATGGCCTGAGACTTATGTACTCAGTTGGTTCTTAACTTTTGCTGGATGAGGGAGGACACATGTACAACTTGTATTCTTAATTATACAGTAAACCAAAGTTTCAAAAGCAGAACTGTGACCACCTGGCTCAGAGCTGATTTGGAGAGTGGATTAAAAGCACCTATAGTCCACTTTTCTCTCTGCCATTAGTACATGGGGGACTGACCGTATCACAGTTTCTCATATGATGTTATTTCTTGGCTGTGAGGTTCACGCTGCCTCTGAAGAGCATTTCCCTGATGTATATAAGCTGCTTTAGGATCTTCCCACGCAGGATAAATACTGTTCCGTGATTCACATCAATCACTCAGGTCATCCTTGTATGATGAGTCATTTAATTGATGTAGAGTCCATCCAATCTATAGCATCTACTGGGCTTAAACCACTTGTCTGGCTTATTTCATAATTCAAATCCGTTATATCACAGGCCAATATAAGTGCAAGACAAAACGTCCTTGCTAATTTCACTGTCATCTGTTGAACATATTTGGGCTCTACCCAGTGTTTCGATAAATTTAGCAACCTGCTAATATGTACCAGAGGCATATGTGCTACCGATATGAATAAATATAATTGTATACGCATTAAAGTTAAGTCTTAACTGGTATCATCACCACAGCAGCTATTTAAGTGATGAGGTGGTGACTGAAAAGACAGAGCTGAACAGGTGGCTTAGTGTCATTCATGTGTGTCATGTGCACACCTCTTTCTCGTAAGTCACATGACTTTTCAGCAAGGCAGGAAAAAGGTAGACCTTAGCGCTCGCTTCGAGGTACGAAAATGAGTAATTTCCAGGTGTTGTGACATGACTCCCACTCCATCCCACTTCTCAACAATCACTTTGCCCATTATGATAAACAGAAACGTACACCTATAACACAAATCCATAACATTATACTTAAAATATGTACAAACGGTTTAAAACCCTCTCAACCGTAACACAGTCGATTCAATGAAAAAACCCCGATCAAGAAGTAAAACTTCTCAGAATGACAACATGTTTTTTTGTGGAAGTGTGATACCAGCCACAGTTCTTTTGACGTCATGCCAACTTCTGCAAAAATCTTCAATTTGTTCTCAAACTAAAAGGAAAGTCATACAATACATAAATATTTCAACGGCCCTGTCACTCAAATAAACAGAATTTCCCTTCCCGAAAACGCCACGCAGTCATATGATCGTTTCCATTGCACAAAACAACAAACCACAAAAATAAGTACAAACCAAAGGTACACTCAACCAAACTATCTGCATCACTGTGAATGAACTGTACATCAGAGGAGAATATAGAGCTGTACGACGCTGTATACACATCACAGTGAAGACTTCATTCTTTTACTTAAGAAGATTACAAGTCTTCACTGGAACCTCACAGCTGAGTATTCTAGCCACAATTTGCAGGTTGTTTATGTTAGTGCACCTTGAAAAGCTGCCATACAGTGAAGGCACTGCAAGTAAACAAGGAAAGTCTGGGCAGAGTAAGCTGGGAACTGGCAGGTTACCATTACAACAGGGTGAAACTACAGTAACATGACCGCACTTTTCACAACAAAATCAATGGTAAAACATAAGGACCGAGGTTGAACAAGTCAAGCTCCAGAAAGGCAAGACATTTCCGGGTGCTGATGGGAACTAATCAGAAGAGAATGAAGAATGCTGAACTGCCCAGTCAGACAAGAAAGAAGTGCAGCTCTTTAAGGGCAAATAAGACCAGGTAACATTCGAGGTTTCCGGTGGAAATTTGAGGTTGTGTTCAGCCTTCTCCACCTACATCGAAACCTCACGCTCACGGCTGGTCACAGTGAAAGTGCAGTAGGTAAATCTGGCCATACATTTAAAAAGATAACAGACAAAAAAACAGGAGTGCATCAACATCCATCCACGCAAACACAAGACATGTTTTTATTTGAAAATTTTCCTAGGAGATAAGCCATTTACACTGAAATTTCCTGGGAAATTTACAGTGAACTGTGGAATTGATTCACTACCAATGACACAGCGTGACACCCCCACATTTACACAGTAATGGCTCATGGAAACTGAGATCAGCACATTTACCTGTGGACAGTCAGTGCTCTGTCAGAGACCCCCGAAAATAACCAGTAAAATAACCACATCAAGAACCTGGGGGCGGGTCGTAGGGGGCCACTCTTTACCTAGAGCCCTCAAAATACCACCCCACCCCAGCGTAGGCTGATCTCACAAGGCCTCAGGTAACTCCCAGCTTACTGCCGGTACAACAGAGAAACAAAGGGACATATTTGTGTCACAAAAGAAGCACGATGTCACGTGTAAGGACAAACCGGTTAAAAAACAGTTTTTATCCTAAGGCAATTATACTAGTGAATGCTGAAATGAAATGATATAATTTCTGGTGTTATCGAAGAAAGGGGTGTGGGGGCAAAGGAGGGGGGCCCAGAATGAATGTATGAGGATTTACGTATTTATTAAGTTATCTTCGATGAGGCACTTCAATGTCGTTGAACAGACAATGACAAAGCTATCTATCTATCAGTCAGGTCATTCAGGGAGAAAATGCAGTGTAACATGACAAAGAACCACCACTGGCACATCATGTGTGACGTGACAGCAGCAGAAGAGAATGAGCGCTGGGATTAGAGCAGCAGACCGATTGGGGGGGAGGGAGTGATTGCGACAGAGGGAATCGGAAAGAGGGAGCGCCGGCGATGAGAAAGAGCAGACCTTTCATCATGACAGTGTGCAGGGGAGAGATGGCAGCAGCCATAGCTGAGCGTGGCCCGGCCACTCACAACGAAAGTCCCGTCGGTGGCTTCTCAGAAGTGAGGCAGCGCAACGTCCACACGTTACTAAAAAGACAAGTGGAAACAGTGACACGCCATCGGGGGTCACAATGACAGGGGCGGGAATTTTCACCCCCAACACAGGGGATGCTTTACTCTCGAAATACCCCAGTGTGCAACCGCACCCCGCCAGCAGGTTAGGACTGTGAGCAGAAGGTCACCAAATCAAAACTCATAGTCGGGAGAATGATTTTATTGTTGGGCCCTTGAGCAAGGGTTTTAATCCCCTCATTGCTTAGATAAAAGCATCAGCTTAATATCCTCCTGAGATCCAGCAATTCATTTTTGTCCTCTGTAAAAGACATGATGTTTTTGCCTCATACTATTAAGTCCCCGTATTCCTTAAAGAAGACTGTTACAGTTTTAAGGTGACATCGCGTGTGTGGAGAGGTGCTTTTTATACAATCTCAAAAATTTATTTAAAAAAATAAAAACAAAAATTACCATTCTAATTCAACAAATGTTCAAAAAGGTTTTTGAATCACCATTTTTGATTGCGATGAAATTTGGCGTCTGAATTACACATACCTTTCAGAGCTCAGAAATGTTTATTAAGTCTTCCCTTTAAGATGTAACACTTTTTCTACACCAAAAGTAACAAAATATATAATTCAGAGTGTTTTATTATGGACTGTATATTACTATAGAAATACTACACAAACATACTCAATAACCACTCTATTGGGAACACTATACTAATACTCATTTTTCTGTGGCATGATTCCTCAAGATGTTCGAAACATTCCTTCTGAGATTCTGCTACCTGCTGACATGACTGCATCACACAGTGTCGGCAGATGTTAGATGTACATCCATGCTGCAAATTCCCCATTCTACTTAGGCCCGTAGTCAGAAATGAATTTTGAGGGAGGTTCAAATTCACTATTTTACTACCTGGCTACGTGCCTGGTTCTACCACATCCCAAAGGTGCTCAGGCAATTAGATCCGCTGACTGGGAAATCCACTGAACTCATTGTCATGTTCACGAAACCAGTTTGAGACTTTTTGTTTGTGACATGGTGCGTTATCAGGCTGGAAGTAGCCATTAGAAGATGCGTAAATTGTGATCATGAAAAGATGCACATGGTCAGTAACAAAACTCAAATATGCTGTGGCATTCAAGAGATGATCAATTGATATTAACGGGTTCAGAGTGGGCCAGTAAAGCATTCCCCACACCATTACACCAAACCAGCAGCAGTCTGCACTGTTGACACAAGGCAGGTTGGATCCATTTATTCATGCTGTTGATGCCAAATTGTGACCCCACCATCTGTGTGCCTCAGCAGAAATCGAGATTCGTCAGACCAGGCTACGTTTTTCCAGTCTTCATCTGTTCAGTCTTTCATCTGTGAGCCCTTGTCCACTACAGCCTCAGCTTTCTGTTTTTGACCGACAGGAGTGGAACTTGACATAGTCTTCTGATGTTTTAGCCCATCTGCCTCAAGGTTCAATGTGTTGTCCATTGAGATCCTTTTCTGCTCACTACAGTTGGACAGAGTGGTTATCTGAATTAGCCTTGCTGCTGCTCACTGGATGTTTTTTGTTTTTCGTACCATGCTGAGTGAACTCTAGAGACTGTTGTGCTTGAAAATCCCAGGAGATGATCAATAATAGAAATATTCAAACCAGCCCATCTGGCACCGACAATCTCACCACGGTCAAAATCACTGCCATCACATTTTTTTCCCATTCTGGTGTTTGACGTGAACAGGGTCCTCATCTACACTACTGTGCCAAAATCTTAGGTAGTCAAACAAACTGTTTATGGTTATTTCTCAGTAGTAATTGTCTGTTTTCTCAGAAAAAGAAAGCACAATTATTATAACAAACTAACTAACACAATAAACAAGAATTTTGTGTGTCCT